CCCACTCACTGCTCCCCAGACAAGCTCAAGGCTCAAGGCCTTCTTGGTCTGGCTTCACTATACAGACCAACTTCTATTCCCTGTCCCCGAAGGCTTTCCTACATTCGGGCCTTTGCACATGCCCTGGGACCCAGAGATGTACGTAAGTAAATAGTTTCTATCCAGTAAGGTGAGTGTAGTGAGAAAGGGAGGTCCCAGCAGACACCCCAGAGGGAGCAGCTCTAGACCAGGCCTGCGAGAGTCAGGGAAAGTTCTACAGCTGGGTTTTGAAGCATAGATAGGAGGTTTCTAAAAGAAAGTATTGGGGAGGGTGCCCTACTGTTAACCATATAGATGAGAGAATATGGGATAGGGGAGGATGAGCCACCCAGCAGGGTTCTTCCAGGCATAGAAGATGAAGGTCAGTGGGGTGCCGGGAGCACTCACCTGCTGAAGAATCACCATGTCCTCTGTCAGACGCTCTTGCTTCCTGCCTGGGCAGATACAGTTCTGCAGAGGGAGAGACCATGTGAAGGGTCTGAGCAGGCCAGCCCTGGCAGCCTGGAGCCTGGCTGGGGTCACCTGGGCTCTTCCCAAAGCCTCTGCCACTCCTCCCTCTGGGGAACTCTCCCTCCCTGGCTTCTCTCCCTCTGGCCACAGCCCAGCCGGCGTGACCTGAGCCTCAGCCACCGTCACCAGCTCCACTGCCCAGAGCAGCCGAGCTCTTCTCTTGGTTACGGTCATTCAGAGATTTCTAAAGGGCCCCTAGGAGCCCCCTCCCCTGGACATATGGGCAAATGGACTCAGAGAGGGACCAAGACTTGCCAAAATCACACAGCAGGGCAGGGGACGTTCAGGAGTAGGACTTGATCTCCAGCCTCCCAGCTCAGGGCTGCCCCAGCAGTTGGGGTGCCAGGAGCAGCCTGGCCCAAGGGGAGGGTCACTGGCTAAGCATGACCTGCTCATGGCATGCCCTGCTTTCAGGATGGGGGTTCTAAGCACCCCAGGTGGGCTTTCAAGACCCAGCACTTTGTGGCCCCTGCTGATGTCTTAGTCTTGCCTCTCACTGCTTCCTTCCTTCCCCGTCCCTGCACTTGGGCCATCGTCGGCACTCACTACTCCTGAAACATGCCAACCCTTTTCATACCTCCTGGCCTTTGCATACGCTGACCCCTCTGCCTGGAATTCTGACGAGTAAATTCCCACCTATACTTCCATGGCTCAGTTCAGACAGTACCTCCTCCAGGAAGCCTTCTCTGACCACCCCCAGGCTGCCAAGAGCTCTGATGTTCCTATCTATCCAACCCTGACTATACATGTTATGTGGTCAGGTCAGGGTCTGTCCCCATCTCTGTCCCCCCAAAGCTGGGGAGCTGATCCAGGGCTGGAGGTGGGCTCAGTCACTGCCTCACAAAGTCCAGGGTCAGGACGGAACTGTGGGACCAAGCATGGTGATCCGAGACAGGCACAGGCCCTGGTGTGAGGCCCCTCTGGCCCCCAACCTGCCCCCCAGGGCGAGCATCAATTTTTCACAAGGCCCATTCAGAGGCACTGGGGCATTTGATCCTCTGCCCAGGACACTGCCTGACACCTGAGCCCTGACCCCTGCCCTGAAGCTCTGGAACACAGCAGGCACATGGTTCTTCTGGAGACCTGCACCCGGCCTGGTCGGCAGGGACGGCCGTTCAGCAAGGGCGGCAGGCAGCTGCCGCGGAGACCCTGTAGAGGGTGGCAGGTGTCTCCCAGGCCTCCGGCACCACCACGAGCCTCCAGAGCTGGGGCAGTGCCAGGGCTCCCAGGGCTCCGGAAGGTGGAAGGGGTGGCAAGAGCTTGGAGTTTAATAGCCTCACAGAAGACAAAAGCTCCAAGATCAACTTTTTCCTAAAAAGAAGAACTAGCCCATGTTTAAGCTGACTGCTTTTCAAATCGAGAACAGGGAAAACAAAACTGTAGTTACATTTCTATGCCCATGTCTGACCTTTACCTTGTTCTCACAACAACCCTGGGCAGGAGGGCTTCCCACTCCCATTTCACAGGTGGGAAGCTTGAGGCATGGAGGGAGGAAGTCACTTATTCAAAGAGAGAAAGAGAGGCACCTGGGTGGCTCGGTCGGTTAAGCGTCTGACTCGTGATTTTGGCTCAGGTCCTGATCTCACGGTCGTGAGATTGAACCCGGCGTTGGGCTCCACAATGAACATGGAGCCCGCTTGGGAATCTCTCTCTGCCCTTCTCCCACTTGCGCACTTGTTCACACGCTCTCACTCTCTCAAATTAAAGAAAAAGAGAGAGAGAAAGAGATAAAAGAAGTGTTAGAGGCCAAAAGAGACTCTCTCTTTGCCACCCCGGCATTTCGCCCTGATGCCCCAGACCTCGTCACGACAATCCAATGGATGCTGTGCCCCTTGACGCTCCCCTTCTCTGGCCTGCAAGCCTCCATCTGCCCAGGCTCGGGACAGTTTCATTCAGTGGCTACTGTGGCTGGAACCCCAAAGATGGCTGGGGCCCCAGACCAGGAGCGAATGGCTACGGGGTGAGTGTTCCAGGCCGGCCCAAGCCTGGGACCCCCCCTTCTCCCGGTGCCCAGGACAGTGGGCAGCCCACACTTACCAGGGTCCCAGCTCCCCACTCTCAGCTGCCGCCTGCACGAAGAGCTCAAGACTTGGGGTCACAGGTCTGGGACAATCTGCAGACACACGTCCCCTCTTCCTCTATCTTGCTCCAAGGCTCATCACTCAGGCAGGGGTGGGGGGTGGGGTCTCTCTGGATCCGTCCGTTTTTCCCTGTGGGACGGTCTGTCTCCCTCTCAGCCTCTCCCCTCCTTTCCCGGCCAGGGCGGCTGGCCAACAGCTCTGCTGCCCTTCCCTCAGGAGGCGGAGGCGGAGGCGGAGGGGCCTCCAAGATCTGGGTGCCGTGACATCAGTGACATCAGCGTAGGAGGCAGGCTGTGCCGCCCCGTGGGGAGGGCGGGGAGGCAGGGGCCCGGGGCTCCCTCGCCGTGCTGCCGGCTTCAGCTGCCGGCCGTTACATGCAGCAGCCACCTGCTCCCGGCCCGGGCGGCGAGCCTCCTCGTCCTGACCCTGTCACTGATTGCTGAGTCTTGGCACCTGCCTGCCCTCCACCAAGCCCTTTTCTTCTCCGTACATGGCTGCTTGGCAGTCTTGAGAGGAAGGGACCCGGCACGGCCCCCGCGGGAGGCCGCAAGCCCCATGTTCTGGCCCCTTCAGTCCTCGTACACACTACCCCAGATCCACTTCCCAAGGGCTCCCCGCAGATGCACCGCCCTGAAGCTCTACAACACTGTTCCCACAGCCTGTTCTGGGGTGGGGGTGGGGCAGGTCTCGTCCACAATCACCCAGAAAACTTTCTCTCAAATCAACAGACTTGGAGCAACCGTATTCCAGGGACACCTATGAATTGAAGTAAAATGATGGGACTTACAAGTGTGGGCTGGACGTAAATAGGAGTACACAACACAAACTGTTAATAGTACTGGCAAAGAGTAACACTGACGACTCCTTACTGAGACCTGACATGTCCTTGTCACCCTAGCAGCTACCCCCTCAGTCCATGCCTCTCGAAGGGGAATCTTGGCTTCAGCAGAGGGAGGCACTCCTTTAGATCCCCATCCTCTAAAACTGAGGCGTGTCTGCAGGGAGGAGGCCACCCCAAAGAATGGGGCGGGAGACCCCAGTGCGCCACCTGCTGGACATGGGCAGCGCTGCCCTCCAGAGCGCCCATGGGAGCACCCTGAGCATCCAGGCTCTCTGGAGCAGTGAGGAGTGGCAGTGCCTAGATTCTGACTCAACATTCCTTTTTTTTTTTTTTTTAATATTTTTATTTATTTCTAGGAGAGAGAGAGAGAGACAGTGTGAGCAGGGGAGGGTCAGAGAGAGAGAGTCACACAGACTCTGACATAGGCTCCGGTCTGAGCTCTCAGTCAGCACAGAGCCCGACGCGGGGCTCGAACCCACGAACCGCGAGATCATGACCTAAGCGAAAGCCGGACGCTTAACCGACTAAGCCACCCAGGTGCCCCATCTGACTCAACATTCCTGACCCTCACAAACATCTGGAGGCTGGAGTCCTGGCCAGGTGGCCCTAGCAGGAGCTGCTGCAGGTCCCCGTCCCCACTTCTGGGGTAGCACCTGCTGTTGACACTTGCTACCCACCAGTCCCCCAATCACCTCTCTTGCGGAGACTCCCAGGCTGCTGTCCGCCTGCACGGATGGGAACACTGAGGCAGAACGCAGGCCTGATCTGTGAGGATGGGCCCAGCATGGAAGGGAGTGCAGAGGTCCGCAGGGATCCACGGATGCCGTAGCAGCAACACCCACTGGCATCTAGTCTGCTAAGCAGGCTCAGAATTCACAATGTCCTTGGTTCACAGTCCTGTAGAGCAGCCTACAGATTGGCCTTAATTCATCTTCCCTCACGGCCCACTCCACCCATCATCACGGAGTTCTGTCCACTATTTCTCCCCAGCCCCTACCTGCGGGGTGCCCGGCAGCTAGAGCTACTGGCATTTCCTCTCAACAGCCCCCACTCTGGCCTCCCCACATCCACCTGTGCCCCACAAACCCAGGTCCCCTTCCTGGGGCTGCCTCCCTCCCTCCATTTCCCCGCTGCATCGGGGCATCGTCCTGCCCTCCCAGGTAGGCTGGAAGCTCCCAGAACTCCCACTGCCTTACCAATCACTTCCCAGGTGGCATTCGTTAGTACTGGAGCATTTCCATTGGCCTCCCCCACTCATTTGTAGACTTCCCCACAGACAGGATCATGGCTGCTTCCCGGCATCCTCACCGCCTGGGACAGGGCTTGGGATGAGGCCCGCTGAAGCAATGATGGAACGATCCCAGTGACCTCTGCCCACGGACGCACCGGGCCGGCAGCGGGGCCCAGCCTCAGGGGCTAACTCCCACATCTTCCCTCACATGCCTCTTGACCAAAGGACAGTCACCGAAGCCTGGGAATATTCCCTCCATTGCTCTTCACCCCCAGAGGGACAGTCAGGTACAAGAAAGTCTTTCTGGGACTATAATAACGTTTATTCTGAGAACAGAACAAATATCCACTCCTGACCCCATGGTAGGCCCTGAGGGCAGTGAAGCCCACACCTGGGTGGAACAGACCAGAGGCCCCGCCCCGCTGCAGAGAGGGACTCTGGGCCCCAGGGGCCGAAGGGCACATCGGGTGGGCAGAGCAATTGCTCTCCCCACCCACCCTCCAGTCCCAGCCTGGAAGAACTCCATCCTCACCGGCCCGGGGACCAGGGAGGGCCGTCTGCACAGCCAGGAGCCGGCCTGGCCCACTCAGAGGGGCTGCCAAACCCGTTTCTGGGGGGAGAGGGAAGAGGCAGTGCACAGTCTTCAAACCGAAACCCACACAGTCCTGCCAATTGGTCCTGGTTTGCTCACAGCTGAGCAAAGACCCATGTTTCGGCCCCAGAAGCCCCAACTGGCCCTCACCTCTCCACCCCAACTCAGGAGCCTTCGCTTGAAAAAGACACTGAGACGCAGCTACGTGAATGTGTGCGGTGTGCACGCATATGGAGATACAGAGAGGGTACAGTTTTGCCCTTATTCAGCACTTGTGAGCGAGAGTGCTGGCAAACAAGAACCATTAGCCCCACTTGGCAGAAGGGGGGAATCGAGGCACAGGAGGTTTCAGTGACTTGCTCCTGGTCACGTGGTCCTGTCCCAGCCCCAGGTTCTCGAGGGGAAGTCCCAGCTTTTTGAGAACGAATCCTCGTCCTCAGTCAGGTCCTGGCCCATCACACGCGGCCGGGTTCCGGGGCGCAGGAGTCGAGCCGGCCATGGAGTGAGGAGGCGAAGTCAAGACTCCAGCACCTCCAGCCAGGACACGGCGCCAAGCAGCCAGATCTGGAGCCGCACATTCGGGTGCCCAGAAGGAATTCCCAGCAAGGCCACGGGATGTCTTATTCTTGAGCCACCTCGGCTTGTTCGTGTCCACTGCCCAGCCTGGGGCCAGGGCAGGGCGCAGAAGAGCCCCGAAGTAGTCGTGGCACCAACACTCGCCAAGAAACGTCCGAGCAGAGAACACCCTCTTCTTCACCCACCTGCAGGCCTCCTCTGAGGTGTGACTTCTCCTCACCCCCTCCCCCGGCAGAGTGAAAATAAAATCGGGGGAACCCCGGGAACCGGAGTTGATGATGGAAAAAGGGGCTCAGGCTTTCAGTTTTCCTTGAAAAACTCCTGGTTAAAAATGATAACACGAAAGACTATAAAAGATTGAGGACTAAAGGAATGTGTTGGTCCAGGCAGCAAGAAGAGGGCTGCATTTTGGGGGGAATGTTGGAAGACAGGCCTCTGGGCAGGCGATGGATTTGCCGGCCTCCTGCCAAGCCCAACAAGTCATCTGAGCCTAGTGGACCTGAGGCCGCCACCCAGGGTCCCTCCTCCCAGGAAAAGCCCAGGTGTTGCAGCGGAGGGGGGCTGGAAAGCATGTGCCTCCCTTCAGGTGCCATGACCCCCCCTCACCCTCCTGGCCCACCAACGGGGCAGGGGGGGCACTCCTGGCACAAAGGCAGTGGAGGCAGGCGGATGCCACTGTCCCACTGCGGCCTCACCCAGCGGCTAGGTGCGAAATCAGAACTCGGGGTGAGGCCGCAGCCGTGTCTGGGCGTCAATCTCTGCGAGGCCCCGGGCAGGGGTGAGGCCCCCGATGGAGGCCGGGTCTCCCAGAGCTGCACGGAGGGCCCCAGCTCCACCGGGGGTCTCATGGGCATCGTTTATTCATTTGGCAAACCTCTGTGGAATAAACAGATGAACGGGCAAGTGGGCAGGATGAGAGAAATGAAGAAATGTCACCTGCGCATTTTCCTAATTCCAGCCTAAGCAAGAGCCGAGGGTCCTTTCAAGGTGGCTAGAAAACCAGGTGTAGGGGACAGAGAAAGCAAGGTCTGGGGCACGGTGGGGGGGGGGGTGCTGGGCACGTGGGAGGTCTGTGTAAACAAGTGACATCTTGGCACTCCGTCGGCAGACAGCGGGGCCTTGAGAAAACATTTTCAACGGATAAGAGTCCCTTAGCAGTGGTGACAGCTGGGGTCAGAAGAGCTATTGTAAATCTCAGGCAGGAAGACTCCTCCGTGAGCAGGGAATGCTTCGGGGCCCTTGGGACACCGAGGCCCTGAGAGGGGCAGAGGCCTCCCAAGGTCACATGGCAAGTCAGTAGAAAAGCTGGGAAAGGACCCCCAGTGTCCTGGCTCCCAAGCCAGTCCCTGGCCTGGTTGGGGACATGCAGAAGGTGGTAAGACTGTGGAGGCCAGGTGGGGGGGTGGCAGGGGTCAGACGGCCATGAGGGAGGTGCTGCTGAAGACACACACAGCAACGGTGCCCGGCAGGTCGCTGGGCTGCCGGCTGCCGCGGTCCTGGAGGTGGAGGGTGTGCAGGGCCTGGAGGTCATCTGGGTCGGCCTTCAGGTGCACCTGGCCCAGGAATTCGTCCTTCAGGACTCGGTGGTTCCAGATCTGGGCAGAGACAAGACGATTGTGGGGGGAGGGGGCCTTTTTAAGAGCAGGAGTATAGGTCTGTGGGGGCCCTGGTGGCAGGGCCTCGAACCCCCCCTCTTGCAGTGCAAGCCTGGCTTAGAGGAGCCCTGCACTGCTTCTGCCTCGCCGTGAACCCTGGGCAAGGCCGTACCCCTTCCGGAGCCTCAGGCTTCCTCCCATGTGTCAAACTCACCTTCCGCATACCCAGTCTCGTCTGTTGTTATTAGTTCTGCCACTGACCTTAGGTGACCTTGGACAAGTGAGTGATTTCCCGATCTTTAAAACGACAGTTGGATCAATGGCCCCTCGGGGTCCTTTTTAAGCCCCAACAGCTATGGGTCTGTGATTTGATCCAGTGGGGCCCAGGGTTAGGAAAGATTGGAAATCCTATAGTGGCTTCCTCAGGGTACCCGGGCATTTGTTTACGGACGGCTTCCACCCCCCGGGGAGGTCCTGGCCTGGGCCCGGGGGGACAGAAGACTTGCCAGTAATGAGCCCAGAATCAACATCCACAGGCCACCTTGGCCTGAGAAGGGAAGAAGGCCAAGCTTTTGGGCCCCTTGCTCTGGGGAAACAGCCACCTCCACTAACTACACGCCACCTCGGTGCGACCTCTCCCGGTGAATCCCCTTCCAGTGGGATTTAAGGAACAACTCCCAGGGGCTCCTGGGTGGCTCCATTGGTTAGGCGTCCGACTTCGGCTCAGGTCACGATCTCACCATTCCTGAGTCCCAGCCCCGCGTCGGGCTCTGCTGGCAGCTCAGAGCCTGGAGCCTGTTTCGGATTCTGTCTCCCTCTCTGTCTCTGCCCCTCTCCAGCTCATGTTCTGTCTCTCTCTCAAAAATGAATAAACATTAAAAACAATTTTTTTTAAAGAAACAACTCCCAAGCCACAGGGGCAAAGTGGGCAGAGATGACCACTGTCCCTGGCCAGGAGACTAACCCTACTGCGTCTCAAAATCACACCAGCTAATATAACTCACCCCACAGGGGGCACTCTGGGGCACCAGGAAGGGCTGGCAAGATAATTCCCAAGGTCATACATAGCATGTCAGGGACAGAGTGAGAACCAGAATTTAGTGTTCCCAGGTCCCCAACAAAAGCTCTGCCACCCTGGGCCCCACCCCATGAGTGTGAAAACAGCAGGCAGGGCTCCAGGGGAGGGTGGGCAGGCTCACCTGGACTGTGATGGGCTGGCTTGGCTTCTTGCGGTAGAAGATACCTTTCAGGTTGTACTCGGGTGTCGATGTACCTTTCTGTACAGCCGAGCGGACTTTGTCCCCCTCACACTTGATGATCACGTAAGAGTTGGCCCCTGAGAAATTGAGTGGGGCCATGGGGTGATGATGCAGCCTGGGGCAGGACCCAGTGGGACAGAAGTCTGGGAGGTGATTCCCCTTCCCAAAGCGGAAGACAGAGTTCAGATATTCAGGAGAAGGGACAGCACAGCCTGACTGCCTTCCTAACTTCCAGAGACAGGAGGAGGCATACCGGTCATCTCTGCCTCCATGCTGTTTCCCCCGCCCACCTTCCCTTCCCGATCACCTATTACCCTCCCCACCACCTTCTCTTCCCTATCCCACCTTACCAGGCTTCATATCTTAATGCCGCGTCAGCCTGGAGGAAGGCCACCTCCTCCAGGGAGCCTTCCGTACGCCCTGCCTCCCAGCAGTCTGTCCCTGTGTTGACTGTCCCACCACACAGGAAGCTGCCCAAGAGCAGGCAGCAGCCCATTCCTCTCTACGCACCCAGTTTCATTACAAGGCTGGGCCCAGAGCGGATGTTAGGAAAGGTCAGCGCATTCAGTGAGAGAGAACAGAAAGCTCTGGAGGCTGGGCGTCTGCTGCTGAGTAGGGGGGAGGTGGCTGGGACCATCTCCTTGGGGAGGTGGGTCCTGGTACTTTCCCCAGGCGAGCTCACCTGTCGAGGAGTCCTTGAGACCAGTAGCCCGTAGGATGTGTACCTGGGTCACCTGCTGGGGATAGCCGCACAAGGAGCTCCAGCAGGAGCGGGGGGGCTCATCCAGGCGCAGCTCCCTGGTACAGGGTGGAGGGGGAGAGGGAGGAGGTGGTGGAGGGGGCCAGGGAGACGGAAGGTAAGGGGATTCAAGAAAAGGGCAGGGGAGGGGGCAGTATTTAGTCCAGACATTGCTCATCCCGGGCAAACCGCCATGGGCTTCCTGCTGCCCTCTCTCTACTGCAGGAAGCCCCGTCCTCCCGAGAGAAAAAGCAATTTACTGAGCACCTACTATGTGCCAAGCCCCTTGCTGGGATGTCACAGGTATTATTTGTAATCTTCCCAAAGACCTGGGTGATCGGTGACTACGGTCACACCCATTTTACAGACACGACGAAGCATTGGGCTCACCAGAAGGAATGTGCCCACAGCTGGCCAGAAGTGGAGCCTGGGCTGGCAGGACTCGGGTCCCCTGAGCCCACCACACAGGCCTGCACTGTGTGCAAGGAGCACTGACTCGGGGCTGCCTACCAAGGTAGGAGGGCAGTGGCGGGCTCATGGGGCCTGCCTCCCAGTGGGGAGGGGATGGCTCTAGCGTCCGCCTAGCCCAACTCAACCACTGGTGTCATGACCTTGGAAACCACCCCCCCCAACCTTGATTCCCAATTCTGATCTGTGAAATGGACAGGTCAGGCCCCCACCTGGGGTTTAGGAAGAGCAAATAAGAGGAGTGAAAGCTCTGTAAACTGTGAAGTGCTGTGCACATATGAAACACTGTCCCTTTATATAGCCAAGAGAGGCTGGGACAGAGGAGCAGGGGAAGGAGGGAAGGACATGTCAGCCCAGGGAGGCTGGAGGCCTGGACTCTACGCCTCGGGCAGACACTGAACATCTCCGCGGATCCCGGGCCAGCCTGCTACGGAATCCGGCCCTCCCAGCCCCGGCCCCGAGTGAGCGGCCACACACCGGCAGTTGGAGGGCACATCAGTGAAGACCCGAAGCAGGAACTCGCCAGTGTGGCCCGGCTCGAAGGTGGTGGGGATGATGACATAGCGGCCCTCGGGCTGGTCCGTCCGCAGGAAGACGCTGCGTGAGTTGATGTAGATGGAGCTGGCGGCCCTGTGCTGCAGACCATGCATGCGGTACTCCCGGTTCTCCTCCACCTGCAGGGGGCGGGGGGGCTGGAACGCTCGGAGTCCCCCAGGCTCCCCCGCCCCGCCACGGCCCGCCCACCCACGTCGCACATCGGTCCCTCGCCGCAGACCTGAAAAGAGCAACCTAATCCATTTATGTGAAATGCCCAGAAAAGGCAAATTTACAGACAGAAGTAGATGAGTGCTGGCCCAGGGCTCGGGGGTGGACGGTGGCGGGGGCTGGCTGGCACGGAGCGGTGACAGCTAAAGGATGCGAGGGTCCCTTCTGGGGTGATGAAATGTTCTAGAATGGACTGGTGATAGCCGCACAACTCTACAAACACGCTCAAGGTCACTGTACGCTTTAAGTGCATGAATTGTATGGTACGTGAATTATATCTCAGTAAAGCTGTTAGGAAGGGGGGGAAACGGGCACTCCCCTGGTAACCGTGTCCACGTCACTACCTGACCACGTCACAGCACGTGTCCAAGAGAGGACATCACCAGCGGCCGGGACATGCTAGATAACCCCTGGAACAAGTGTCACGCTAAGCTACAGCCGTGTCACTTTAGGTCACGACATGTCTAAGTCACAAAACCTCAGCATACGATGGATGTACAAGGACATGTCATGATGTGACGGAGCACCTCGAATGCAGGGGCTCAACTCAGACCACGTGCCTAGCGCCTCCGCGTGATCTCCTGAAGTTCTCAGTGTCCGGCAGGCCCGCGACGTCCGCTATGCTGAGTGCCATCACTCCCCGGGTGTCGCAATGTGAGGAGGGCCTGGGTCCCAGGCCACGGGGAGTGGCCACCTGGCTTTGCCCAAGATGCTTCCTCCCAGGACCCAGCAAGGCCTTCCCACCTCAGGGGGACCCAGAGCCCTGAGGGAGGGGGCAGCGGGGGCCTCCCAGGGCCTGGCTCTGACCAGCTTCCTACCCATCAAACAGCCAGTGGGTGTGCAGCAGGAAGAAGTCAGGCTGAGGGCTCCCATGGCCACCAGCCCCAGGCAGGCCAGGCCTCTGGGGGTGTTCCAGATGAGGCTCACGCCACAGCACACCCACGGCATCAGCCACTGTGGCCAGGATGGCAGGGATGAGGTCAGTGACCACAGTGTTCTTCCCCAGGCCAAGGAGGCCTAAAATCCAGCTCCGTCGCTCTCCTCACGCAGAGCAGGGGTCCCAGAAGTCCTCACCTTGTAGATGTCAAAGCCAATGGCCAGATTTTCACCCTTGCCGTCCCGGCGGGTGGACTGTTTGGGCTGCTGCTGGATGCAGATCAGCACTTCATCTTCTGGCTTCTTGACGTCAAAGATGTACTGCAGGGAAGGTCAGGGAAGAGAGACATGGCACTGAGACTGGCCCAGAGGCAGGCTTGCTGGCTCCCAGAAGCTGGGCCAGAGCCGGGCCCAGCTCCATGTGTGAGTCCGGGTGAGTCACAGCACCTCTCTGGGTCTTGGGCCCTCATCTGTGAAATGAGCCTATGCTGTCCACGCTGCCTAAAGGGTGGGGGGGGGCGGTGTAGGCTTGGGGAGATCATGGAGGCTCAGCTGCATGCAGTCAGTGCCAAATGAAGGCACACCAAACATGAAAAGTAAACAGTTGCTAGGGTCATGACTAAGGAGGCACAAAGGAAAGGTCCACCCCAAGGAAGAGCCAGTCAGGCCAAGTGCCCCTGGAAGTAGAGCACCGTGTGTGTGGAAACAAGGGGTTCGAGCCTCCAGCGCAGCCTCCCTCTAAATGTCTTTGTAATTCTGGACCAGCTTCCTCACCTTTACCATCTGCAGGTTGCCTAGGACCACCCGAACACACCCGCCCGACCCCCAGTGGGCAGACAGGTACACAGAGGCCCACCGGGGAGCAGGGATGTACCCAAGGTCATGCAGGAGTCCACGCAGAGCAGTGGCAAGGGCCCCCATAGCTGCTCACGGGCCAGAGTGGGAGTCCTGAAAACACTCACCTGCGGGTTCTGAAAGAAGGTGTCCTTGTGGTTGATGCAGCCCCCGCTGCGATTCTTCCGGGGGTCTTCGTGCCGCGTCCAGGCGCCACACAGCCGGGCCTCCTCCCACGTCTTGTGGATGCTCAGGTACGATGTATTGATCACGCGGCACTTGATGATGTCAGTGAAATATCGGCACAGGTCCTCGAAGGTCATCCTGGGTGTGGCAAGGGGCTGGGCTGGGCAGGTCCCCCTGGCCGGCCACCCGCCCACTCACCCTGTGTGCTCTGAACCACGACCCACGCAGGAGTGAGTGTGGACGTGGTGTCACTGGGCCCCTAAACATCTCTTCTGGCCTCAGTTTCCCGATCTGTAAAATGGGAATGACTCTAACAACGGCTGCCTGTCTCGCAGAGTTAGCATAGGAATTAAGTAATGTGACGAAAGCACATAGTACAACTTGCGGCAGACAGGAGCTGGCAAAGACTAGCTGCTGCAGTTGTTAACAGTAATGTGTCCAGCCCTCTCTAGTTTATAAAACATCTTTCCATCCATTGTCAAGCACGGCTGTCGTAAGGGCCTGAATAAACTGGCGGGGGGGACCCTCATTAAGTGCACTGGAGTGGGCGCCATGTTGCCACACACACCCTCTAGGAGCCTGGGCAGGGGGGACATGCCCATCCCCCTTCATGCGTGCCCATATGTGAAAACATGCACATGCATGCATTAAGTGTGAACATATACAAGACAGGACTTAGGAAGAAGCCCTTTCCACTGAAGACAGCTGTCCATCACTCTGTTTTAAGCCATGTCCCCTGAGCCACATGGGCAAAGCGGATCTCGCCCGCAGGAGCCCACACCAGAGGGCCTGGGGGGGGGGGGCGGCTGCTGCGGTGGCTCCCAACACCTACAGGAGGGGTCCTCCCGAGCAGTGCCAGGATCGCTGCTATCTGCCTGAGTCTGCCTGGGGCCCTCACACACGGTGTGCCCTGTGCCCCTCCAGGAAGCAGCGGAGTCCCCGAATCAAATGTCCTGCTGAAGAATGAAGCTGAGCTTGGCACAGAGTTAGGACTACGTGCAGGCTGAATGAATGCAGGAGTGAATGAACGCAGGAATTATTATTGGCTTCTTTCAGCAAGGCTGCTGCCATCTTCCCAGCCCACCCCCATGCTATATACCCCGTAAGCTCCCCTCACCTTGCTGAACCCCCTCTTCTCAAACCCATGTGTACTCTCGCGCCCCTTGGCCGGGTCTGCCCCTGTACCCTGAGGCCCAGCGTAGGAGGCAGCCACTCCCAACAGGCCTCTCCTCTTCCCCACCTGCTCTCGGCAATCAGGCCGCCAGCGTCGCCCCTGCCCTGCGTATTGCCACCTGCTGGCATCCTGGCCTACTTGCTGGGGGCCCAGCCTGGGCGCTGGAGCAGCTCGGGGTCCCCAGAGGTTGGTATTGGGGATGACAGGGATGAACGGGCCCATTACTGCCCAACTCATTTCACAGAGAAGCAAACGGGAGTGACTCATCCTAGGCCACAGAGCAAGTTGATGGCGAGGCATCTGGGGGAGCCCCGGCTCGTGCCTCCCCATCCGGTGCTCCCTGCTACAGAAGGCCTCCCCCCAGCCCCGGACGCCGTGTGGGCACGAGCACACTCACCAGAACTCCCCGTCATCCTGCACGGTCACACCCATCTTTTCCCGCTCACTCTTGCTCACTTTCTGCCACTCCTCTGAGCTGGGGTGTGGGCATGGGGAGGAAGAGGGAGGAGTGTAAGAGGAGAGACCCCACCAGGGCCACCCTGGCAAGAAAGAGGAGGCCCGAGGGACAGCCCAGCACCTAGCCTCTATCAGTGTGGGTGTAGTTGGAGGCACCCAGGGCCAGGCCTCCCCCCCCCCCCCAAAAAAAAGCCTGTCTGGTAAGGGTTGCCACCATGCCAGGGGCTGGAGGTCTGAGAGCAAAGCTGCAGGCTGGTGGGGGAAGGGCAGGATGACCTTCAAAGAAGGGGGCTCCCTCACCGGGGGCCTGGCACTGTCCTTGCCTCACCAGGGCCATGAGCCAAACACAGAGCAGTCACCTCCATTCTCCCCCTGCTGGCCTCCCTCTCTGCTTTCTTTCCCACTCATTGCCAGGCTGAGTTCTCTGGCCCCTATAAGAATCAGCTTATCCCTACTTCCGGGTCTTTTCCCTGCAGGACCCACCCCCCTCCCACCACCTCCCCCTCTCCCTGGACACGTGCCCGCTGCAAAGAAAGCCTCCCAATGTCATCCTCCTCCCAAGTCCTTCAAGGCCCAGCCTGGGTGTCACCTCCTCTGGGAAACCCACCTTTGTCCTTGCCCAAGCTCTCCTACCGGGGCCCACCCACCCGGGGTCTGTCCTGTGCCCACACCCCCATCCCTGGGCCTCACGTGTCACTCCAGGGCCCGTTCCATTCCCGCTCGCCCCAGGGATTACGCAGGCGGATCATGTCCAGCTTCTCCGACTTGAAGAAGGCAAGCAGGCCGTGGCCCAGGCGCACCTTGCGCACATCAGTGATGGCATATGCATGTCCCTTCACCAGGCCACACGCCAGGCGGGCCTCCATGTCCGCAGCCGTCACTGCCTGCGGGAGGGCACAGTTGCCCAGAGAGGCAGGGTCTGGTCAGGCACCAGCTGGAGGGGTGGGGATGGTGTGTGCCTACACCGCCCTCTATAGGACAGGGAAGGAATGGCAGCCCCAGGGAAGGAAAGGGAGGCCTGTGGTTCGCAAAGCCCCCATGGGGCAGCTAAAATGGGGTTGGCCCAGGGTTGCATTGGCGTTAACTGGCACTGGCTCAATTGTGCAACTGTTAAAATATTAGGTTGAAATCAACAAGGAGGGAGTATTTACACATAAGAAATCAGCAAATGCTACAAAGCAGGGCTTTGTCTTTTTCCGTTGCTCCAGTTACAAAATGCACGTAAAAGGGGGGTGCTAGTCAAACAGCAAGGCATTTCATAGTATAGGGGATCAGGGCAGGGGGACCTATGGCTTGTTCTGCCCAGCACTGGGGAGGGGGTTGCACGCTCCAGCTGCTCCCCTCCCCCCATGAGGCTGAGCATCCAGAGGTATGAGTCGATCTGAGCAGGGGCTCTGCCCGGGACACCCCAGTAAGGGCTGATGAAGGGGAGGGCTGACTCTGTTCTCACCTTGATGGAGGCACTGATGAGGCCTCCCCGGCTGTGCACCTTCAACACACGCTCAAAGAGCTGGTTCCTCTTGGCTTCATCGTTGGCGAAGCCACCCTCAGTCAGGTCGATGGGCTCAGAAACGCCGCCTGTGAAGTCCACCAGCGCATCCGCCGTGTTGCCTCCATCCAGGGCCTGGTAACAGCCCGCCAGCCTGGGGGAGCAATGTGGAAAGAATTCCCCGCTCATGCTCCCCAACCCATCTAAAACCCTCACCTTATAGGGGAGATCTGGGGGACTTAGAGAGGTCAAGCAAACTACTAAGGTCACACAGCAGAGCCAACACTGGAATCCCCGTCTCTGGCTCCCAGGCCAACGTTTGTCTCACTGAACTACCCAGTTTTATCACTCAAATCCCCCTTAGCCCTAGCAGCTGGTCTTTAAAACTCAGCTGTCCAGAAATCAAGCAATTCTTCTCAAAAATATTAAAAGCTCATGTATGTTTTGAAACAACAATGATAAATAATTAACATTATTTATAACAATATAAACCAGAAATCACCTAAATGTCTAACAACAGGAAACTGATTTTAAAAACTAATGCTGCTATAGGGGCACCTGGGTGGCTCATTTTGTTGGCTGTCCAACTTCAGCTCGAGTCACGATCTTGCGATTTGTGAGTTCAAGCCCCATGTGAAGCTCTCTGCTGACAGCTCAGAGACTTGAGCCTGCTTTGGATTCTGTGTCTCCCTCTCTCTCTGATCCTCCCCTGCTCACACTCTGTCTCTCTCTCACAAATAAATAAACATTAAAAAGAAAAAAAAATTTTTTTAAACAAAAAACCAAAAACTAATGCTACTGTTGGCGCCTGGGTGGCTTGGTCAGTTAAGCATCTGATTTTGGCTCAGGTCATGATCTCATGGTTTGTGAGTTCGAGCCCTGCATCAGGCTCTCTGCTGTCAGTGCAGAGCCCTTTCCAGATCCTCTGTCCCCCACCCCCTCTCTCTGCCTCTCCTCTGCTTATGCGTACTCTCTCTCTCAAAAATAAACAAAACGTTTTTAAAAAATAAAAAATAAAAACTCATGCTGCCTCTGTGCTCTGGGATATGAGGCAGCTACTGAATGAAGCCTTGTAAAGGAATTCCTATGGGAAGGAAAATACTAATGCTGGCTTGTTATGTTTGAAAAAACAATACAGCTGGATTCCAATGATGTTTAAAATGTATGAGATAATTTATTTAAAAAACATTAAGCATCGGGGACCACCTGGCTGGCTGAACTGGAAAAGCATGCAACTCTTGATCTCAGGGTTATGAGTTCAAGCCCCATGTTGGGCGTAGAGATTACTAAAAAAAATTCATAAATAAAAATAAAAAGCATCAAGCATCTACTATGTGCAACATATCAGGTACTAGGGGCACAACTGTGGCTTCTTTAAATGTTAGGGAAAGGGGTGGGGTCCTAAAGGCAGTGCTGAATGTGGCTGGGAGCAGCAGAATGGCACAGAGAACAAAACGGATTACATAAATTCAAAATCCACGCCCACAAAATGGCAACACAGGCTTTGCACAGTAACCTGTAAACAAAAAGAGGCATCAAAGATATTAAACGTTGCCAGTGAGGCGCCTGGGTGGCTCAGTCGATTGAGCATCTAACTCCTTTTTTTTTTTTTTAATGTTTACTTATTTTTGAGACAGAGGCAGAGCATGAGTGGGGGAGGGGCAGAGAGAGAGGGAGACACAGAATCTGAAACAGGCCTCAGGCTCTGAGCTGTCAGCACAGAGGCCAATGCAGGGCTCGAACCCAGGAATCGTGAGATCATGACCTGAGCTGAAGTCAGACACTTAACCAACTGAGCCACCCAGGCACCCCGAGCATCTGACTCTTGATTTCGGCTCAGGTCATGATCCCAGGGAATCGAGCCCTGTGTTGGACTCCGCACTGATCATGGATCCTGCTTAAGATTCTCGGGGTGCCTGGGTGGCTCAGTAGGTTAGGCAGCCGACTTCGGCTCAGGTCATGATCTCGTGCTCTATGAGTTTGAGTTCCGCCTCAGGCTCTGTACTGACAGCTCAGAGCCTGGCGCCTGCTTCAGATTCTTTGTCTTCCCCTCTCTCTGTCCCTCCCCTACTCATGCTCTATCTCTCTCAAAAATAAACAAACATTTAAAAAATTAAAAAAAAAAAAGATTATCTGTCTCCCTGTCTCCCTCTCCCTCTGCTCTTCACCCACTCATTCTCATTCTCTCGCTCATAAATACATACATAAATAATACATACATACGTTAAGAGTTGCTATTGGTGGGGAGGAGGGGGGAGGTGTGGAGAGGATGCAGGGAGCACAAGGAGGGAGACAGGAGTAGGGACAGGGCCTTGAGGGAGGGCAGCAAAGCTTCCTAAAATAGGGGAAGTCTGGTTAACTCAGGTGGCCCCAAACAGGGAAGGGGAGCAGAGGGGCCCAGAAGAATATGCAGGAGTATACGGGTGACTTTTAGTACCTCCTGCCTGGGTTTCTGTATCCTCTGGGTTTGCTATAGGACATGCAGTCATTTTATAGTTATAAAAGTAAGTAAAGGAAAAAACAAGCAAACACAAATGGTATCGCTGCTGTGGAAGACAGTTTGGTGACTCAACAATTTAAAACCATAGAACTGCTGTAAGACCCAGCAATTCACTCCCAGGTATATATGCCACAGAACTGAGAGTGCAGACTCAAACAGATACTTGCACACTGATGTTCACAGCAGTACCCTCACAACAGCTGAAGGTGGAAACAACCTAGTCCATCGACAGGTGAACAGAGAAACAAAATGCAGCACACACGGGCACTGGATGCTGCGCGGCTAGGGGAGGAAGGGAATGCTGATCCAAGCTACAACATAAATGAGCCCATCCGTGCTGACAGCCCAGAGCCTGGAGCCTACTTCAGATTCTATGTCTCCCTCTCTCTCTGCCTCTCCCCCCACAAAATGAATAAATATTAAAAAATTTTTTAAATAAATAAATAAATGAGCTCTGAAAGCATGCTAAGTGAAATAAGCCAGACACAAAAGGATAAATAGTGTACAATTCCACTTAGATGATCTCACTGGGATAGGCAGATTTATCAAGACAAAAGCGGAATAGAGGTTCGGGGCGGGGGAGGCTGAAGGGAGGGAGAATAAGGGAGTTCAGTGGGTCGTTTATATGGGGGATGACAAAAAGTTTGGGGTATAGATATAGTGACAGTGGGTACACAGCACTGTAACGGGTACAATTCCTGTCACCAAATTGTACACCGAAACATGGTTAAACTTACTAATACTATATTTTACCACAATAAAAAAATTAATAAAACTGCTACCTAAATAAGTAAGAAAGCAAGCCTACTGAGGCTCTAGCAGAATGGGAGGGGGGGTCTGCACCTAGGACCATGGAGACTCAGTGACCACCAGGGGGCGGGTTTTCCTTTCTTAGGACTGAAAATGGAATCTGTCAATGTGTTTCCTTGAGGGTTTTTTTTTAATTATTTATTTTGAGAGAGAAAGAAAGAAAGTGCATAAGTGGGGGAGGGGCAGAGAGAGAAGGAGACAGAGAATCCCAAGCAGGTGCCACGCTGTCAGCACAGAGCCGGACATGGAGCTCAGTCTCACGAACTATGAGATCAAGACCTGAGCCGAGATCAAGAGTCGACGCTCAACTGATGGAGTCATCCAGGCATCCCTAAGTTTGTTTTTGATGTTGAGAGTTGTTTTCCTTTTTCCTTTCACACACACACACACACACACACACACACACACACAGTCCCAGGAGACCAACAGATGGGCCTGGGAGGAGGAACCAGGGAAAGGTTCTCAACAGGACTGGTGGACTGGTTTCCCGCCCCATCGGCCCTCCTGCTCCAGGCACCCCCCAGGCCTGGCCTCCTCCTCCTCCCCCCTGCCCCCCCCCCGGCTTCCCCCTGGCCTCCTCCTAGCCTCCCCCTGGCCTCCCCCTGGCCCCCGCCTGGCCTCCGCCTGGCCTCTCCCTGGCCTGCAGGGGCCTGAGCAGGTCACTCTGCCCCAAAGCCCTCCACAGCTCAGCAACCCTTTGCCTGTGCCTGTGCTGGGGACCCAGGGCCTGGCACAAAGCAGGAGCGGTCGGGGGAGACAGAATGGATGGACAGTCAGTCGGGAAGACAGACGGATGAGCGGACGAAGGGGAGCCCAGCCGGCAGAGAGGGCCCACCCTCCGGGACCAGCCCTGGCTCTGAGATACCAGACGGGGCTGGGCGGCTTGGGTCTCTGGGGAGAAACCCTCACCCTGAACATGGTGCCGGCTCGGCCCTGTCAGGGAGAACAGGAGAAACCTTTCCTCCCCCTGTGGGTGGGTGTCTGGGGCCTGGACACCAGCTACCAGACCTTCAGTCCCGGTCTCCCTCCGCCACAGCATAGGCTCGGCTGGCTGTGCCCTGCGCCCTGAGCACGCCGCACGACTCTGGAGCGGCCCCTCGCGTCCCGGGGCCAGGAGCCCCAGCCGGGGCGGCAACCCCGCGGCGAGCTCCCCTGCGCCGCCCCCCGCCCCGCCCCCCGCCAGCACCTACTTGGCATAGGCCTTCTCCACCAGGGCGCACCAGAACTCGCTGCGGGAGTTGGAGTGGCAGTAGATGAGCTGGTTGTTGACTGTGGGCAGTCGGTCGTCGATGACCACGTCCACCCACTCCCCAAAGCGCCAGAAGTGAAAGTGGAAGATGCCCGCATAGGCACTGGGTTTCTCGGGGTCCCACTCCTGCTCCTTCCAGTCTGGGATGACCTGGATGGGGCGGGGGGACAGGACAGGAACGCAGTGAGGCTCACATCTGGCTTCCTGAGGAAATGGGCGTGCACACCTCAAGGGGGTCACAACGGAAAGGAATACTGGGACTTGGGTGAACCCTTCTCTTCTCTGGGCCTCAGTTTCCCTTCTCTGCAGTTCCTGGAGGCTGTCACCCTGAGCTTCCCCCTGCCTTCCTCGGGCCTCCCTCTGCACCCTCCACCGCTCAGAAATCTATTACACCCATCCCGGTTCCCATCTGGTGAAAGGTGCCTCCGCCCAGTCCAGCGCCGGCTGGAACCAGGCGGCCACACCGGCCTCCCCGCTTTGCCTCTCTCCAGCCAGTCAGGCCCCTGGGAGCGCCTACATTCTGCTAAAGTCCATCTCCTCTCTGAAAGCATGGGATGCATCAGGCTTGGTCACTGCTATATGCCCTGCACATACACAGTCTGGGGCCTGGCCCAGATATGGTGCTTGACACACATGTGTTGACCAAGTGAAAAAATTCATAGGCATTGAGTGGGTCTCTGACAATATTATTTATGGAACATCTCAGATATGCCAGGTGCCACGCCTGGGACCACCATGGCTTATCTCAGTTTAAGCCGCAGGATAACCCTGTGCATAGATTACTATCATCCATCCCCACTTAACAGCTAAGAAAACCAAAGCTCAGAGAGGGCAAGTAACTTGCCCAGGACCACACAGCTAGAAAACACACATTCTCTGGAATCAGGCCAACTGGGTTTGAAGCCAGGACTCAGACCTGTCACCTGTGGACCGCTCTGCACCGGGTCCGTGCTGACACGGAGGACCCGGACGAATCAGACACGGTCCCTGCCCTCAGGAGGCTCCTAGGCTGGTGGGAGAGGCAAATGCTGAGGTTGACATGGGGAGCCTGTGGGAGCACGGACAGAAGGGAAAGGTGGGCCCCACCCTGCAGGGCCAGCGGCCACTTCCCAGCAGGTGTCCTGACAGTGGGCTGTGGGGGACCCCCAAGCAGACGCGGCACATCTGGGCAGCAGGAGGCGGGCACAGGAGGGAAAGCCTCTCACCCTAGAGTCACGGTGACTTGCTGGCCCTTCCCAGCATGGGACCAGGTGGGGCTGAACCCACTGCGACCACAGACAGCCCAGCCCCTTCTGGAAGAAAACAGCCCTCAGGCATGGGGCTGGGCCCCCAGGCATCCAGGCTGAGGAGCCAAACTTGCACCAAGAGGCCTAAATCCCAAGGCTCAGACCAGTCTGAGCACAGATACTTCTGCCAAAAGCCATTCCCCAACCCCCACACTCATTAAGAAGCCTTCTGTTTACACACCTCTTACCATCAACAAGGATGTTGGCAAAGACAAATGGTCCCTCGTGAGACACTGGAGGCCAAGACGATGAAAATGCTAACCACGGTGCCAGGCTCTTTGTCACTCGCGGGCCCTGCCCGGTGCCAGGCACACCTTTTGCTCAGTCGCCCCTGACCCTTATTGCTACCCTTTGAGGCAATACTATGGGGAGCTGTTGGCACAAGGCTGCCCATGGGCACTGGTGAGGAAGGCGTGATCTACACTCAGGGCTTCCGGGCCCGCTACAGCGTCTGCAACACGGAAAGGGCCCGAACCTGGCTGCTCCATTTTCAGTCAGTGCTGTGTCCTTTCTGAAACCTCGAAGCCTCTGCCCCAGGCCCCTGCGCTCTCTCCTACTTTGCCTGCAGGACAGAAAGGGCTATCAAAAATGGGGCATGTGCAGGATGGGTTTCATTCCCACTGCACAGATGGGAAGACTGAGGAAGGAGGAGCTGCCTGAGGGCACAGAGGGATAGGAAGTCCGAAACAGAGCACATTGGCCTGGGCACACCCTCCACCACTCCTCCCTGCTCTGAAAGCTCTGGACTGCATGGGGCCTGGGGAGGGAGGAAGAGGAGCCCTTGCAGGGCACTAGGAGGCTCTGCTGGGGATGCAGGGGGATCATTAGCCAAACCCAGGGCTTGGCCCGGGCCCCTCTGGGGCTCAGGAAGCAGCTAATGAGGCTCTAGGGCCTGCAGATCCTGAGTCAGATCCCTGTGGGCCTCAGTTTCCCCTCCTACGTCACGGCCAGTGGGCCCAGCATGGCCAGCTTCTAACCCCCACAACCCCTCTGCTGCCAGCAGGGTACCGAGGGAGAGGGAGGAGACTGTCCAGGAAGGTGTGCTCTCAGGGGCACACAAACCCTCCCACACCGCATCCGGTCATCCCAGGAATCGAGGAAGCCATCAAAGACCCTGGGGCCACATCAAAGGATTCAGGAACCAACCTAAAGAGGCTCCCACTGGCCAAAGACGGGCAGATCTCAGCTTCAATAAGGACAGTGACTGCGATGGGTGAGAACACATCACAACGCAGGGTACTAACCACTACACAATCACGGCACGTGAAAACACATCAAACACGTTCAAATCTACGAGACCACAATGATACTTGCAAATAGTCATCATTGGAGACCAGCTGGGAAATAGACTCTTTTTTTTTTTTTTTGTAACAACTGGAAAATTAAAGGAAAGAATCAGGATTCATCCTGCCTTTTCTACACAGACCAGACCAGCGGGTAACCAACAGCAGATGAAGGGACATGTGTTTCTGGAGAGGAGTTAGTCGCAGCTACGAAATGAGGACGGAATTAGAATATTAGACTCCCGCTATTTTACCACCAACGACAAATATGGATTTAGCAATGGTCATCGGCAGCTTCTCAGATCACAAAAAACAGAGCCAACCAGATCTCACATGCCTTGTGAGAGAAGTACACAGTATCTCCTATGAAGCAAACATGCCAAAAAACTTGGACCTAAACTTTACTCAGCCTCTAGGGTAAATCCTAGCTTACGGAAGGTGCATGGCACAGAAAACACGCTCAACACCGCCATGAAAACAAAGGCAGCAAAATCCAGACAGTTGGAAATTCCACAGGCCAGGTGTCTTCCGCAAACACATCTCAAGTAAACAGTAAAAGATGAAGGGGAACAAACCACCGGAGTCGTTTGAATCTGATTCCAACAAAGCATAAAACATATACACATTTATGACAGAAATTGGAAAGCAAAACACTCGCTGGGTATTTGATGTGACGAAGGAAGTTATCATAAAAATTATTTGAGTTGTGTTATATATAGGATTACAGTTACAGACATTTGTTTTTGTTTTGTTTTGTTTGTGAGAACTGCTTATCATTCAGAGATGCATCCAGAAATATTTACAGATGAAATGAGAAGCTGCCTGGAGGGCAAAGGAGTGAGTTAGAGCGAACAGGACTGGCCACCAGCTGACAGTTGTTGAGGCGGAGGGATGGGTCCATGGGAGCATATTAAGACATCTCGCTCCTCCCACATTATCTCCAAGTGAGATGTCCCATCCCCACGGCCACCAGCTCCTCAGCCTGGCATTCACAGCCCGGAGGGTCCGCTGACTCTCAGGCTCACCCCCGAAACACCTGCCTCCCTTGGGCCCCACGGAAATCTACACACATGATGCTTCAGGCCACCTTGGCTCTGCACGTGTGCCTCCCTCTGCCAGTACTGTCGTCGTCCCTCGGGGGCCAGCTGAGCAGCAGCTCGCAGGGGTCTCCAGGCCTGGTGCTCCCCCAGGCTCTTTCCCTGATGACGGGAAGGGAGCTTCTGGAGACCAAGGCTGAGCTCCATTCACGCCCAGATCCCCCCACCCCTACCCTGCGCCTGGCCCAGCTCCAGAGCTGCCCAAGTCTTTCTGGAAGGAAAGTCTCCAAGTGCCAGCCACAGCACAGCCCTGAGCAGCTGGTGACCTTGTACTCATGACGGGGCACACTGCCCACCGGGGTGCATAGGCGAAGACTCGGGTTCCAACTAGGCCACCACTCTGAGCCTCAGTGTCGGCATCTGCCTACCCTACTGCTGCTGTAAAAACCAAAATGGGGGCATCTGGGTGGCTCAGTTGGTTAAGCATCCAACTTCGGCTCAGGTCATGAGCTCACAGTTTGTTGAGTTTGAGCCCCGTGTAGGACTCTGTGCCGGCAGCTCAGAGCCTGGAGCCTGCTTCAGATTCTGGAGACCCAGCTCACACGCTGTCTCTGTCTCCCTCAAAAATAAATAAACATTTTAAAAAGAAAAAAAAAAAAAAAAACCAAAATGGACACTGGTCTTGAAGGTGCTGCCTTAGCCGTGGGGGGCTGAGCACACGTGAGGGGTCATCTCCGCTGGTGTATGTGGTACAAGTGTGTGCACTCACACAACAGTGTGTGAACCTGGGGGCCGGCACGGACCTCAGGTGACCTGGTGAAGCTTCCCAAGAGGAGAAAGAGCAGCAGCCCCCCAGTGCAGATGGGAAATGAGAGACCTGAGGGGTCACGGCATTTACTTGGGCTGACCCAGCAGCCAGGCAAGGACTGTGTGAGATTTGTAGGCCCCCTGGGACCCCTGGGAAATCAGCAGGACACCTCAGGCGACGGGTGTCCCACAGTGCCCCCTGGTGCCTGGAGTGCTCCCAGCTCAAATCCTCCTGGGACTGAGCCAGAGGGACAGGCACTTGTGAGTGTGCAAGTGCATGACTGTCAGCATATGTGGGTACACACAGCATGCGTGTGTGAGCGTGTGTGTGTATGTGTGTGTGTGTGTGTGTGTGTGTGTGTGAATGTCAGTGTTGGGGGGGGTGTTTCACAGGGAAGGAGCTTTTCACAGATTCCTGCTTGCGACCCCAGAGGGCCAGCTGGGAGCACATACGGAAAAGGCCACCAGTGCTGTGGGCTGTCGGGCTGCAGGGTGGTTTCCTGTGTTACACAACTCACGTGAGGGAGTCACCAAACCAGAAGGTCCCTGCTTCCTCAGGTCTCAGCTTCTGATGCCCTGAGTCTCAAATTCCCGAGTTTCAGATGCCATGACCGGAAGAGGCTGGGAAGCTTGGCCCCCCACCCCTACTCCACACAGCCTCGGGAGAGCGGAGCCGCATTGCTCGCCACCCAGAGAGCAGGAGCGATGCACCAGGGAGCTCACGGCGCACAGCCAGACAGCTCGGCTGCCCTCAGAGACCTGTGTGGGACCCCAGCCTTGAGGCTGGCCCCCTCCCACACAGTGAGGGCTAAAGAGCCCCTCGGCTGGGCCCATTCTGAGCCTGGTGACAGTGGCAGAGGAGACTCCACACCCTCTTGTCCACTCTCCAACCAGAGCCAGGCCTGGCCCCTGCCTGCCCCTCCCTACATTGACTGCTCCCAGAAGCACTGGGCGGCTGTGCTGCGTCAGGCAACCCACTTCACCTCTCTGAACCCTGTGCTCCTCTGTAAACAAGTTGTCCTGATACCCCTCTCGGAATAACTGAAAAGTGAGGCCATTTGTCTACGGTGACTGAGAGAGTAACAAAGAGCAAACGGAGAGAGGGTGTCGTGTGCCAGCTCATGGGGGGCTCTGCATGCTTCACTAACTCACGTAAGCCTCACACACTTGCCTTGGCAGGAGGAGGGGGCAGGGGGCGGAAGCTCAGGAGATGGCAAGTCCCTTCACTGATTCCGTTGCCCCCGCCCCCGCCAGAGGCATCTTTGGGAATGGACGGAGGCTGCTGCTGGAAGGCAGGACTTGGGGAAGGGAAAGAAGGTGGCCACAGCCGCTTGGGGGAGGGCTCCGGGGTGGGGGGTGGGGATGTGAGACCTGGCTGAGGGGAGCATTTCAAAGCGAAGGTCATTCCCAAGCAAAACCCCAAATGTGGCCCCTGAAGCAGGACCCGACCGTGGTCACTGGGAAGAAGCTGGCCTTGCCAGGGCCTGGGCCCTCAGGAGGGGTGGGGGCACTGTTCCGGCCTCTCCCAGGGGGCCGCAGACACAGAGCCTGGTCCACGCACAGGGACCCCTCCTTTGGCCCCTCCACAGCTTCTGTGACTTTGGGCAGGTGACTGGATCCCCTGGGCCTCTTTGTCTCTGTCCAAAAGCGGAGTAAGCTGCAGAGAGATGGCAAGGGACAGAGCTCTAATGAAGGGTCAAGTGGGGCACTAAGGCGGTGTGGCAACATCAGTCTTATCTGGTCAGCAGGGTAGGGGCTGCCCAAGAACTTCCATTAAATGGGTGACAGAGGCTCAGTGAAACCCAGGCACAGGCCTCACCCTCCCCACCCCTGCCACTCCCTGTCCCATCCACCCCCTGCCCAGCCACCCTACAAGGGAGGGAGATTGCACATGGCTGGCTGCATCCCCTCAGATCCCCTTTGGGCCCCACCTGCTGAGGACCAGGTGCGCCTCCCTGTGGCCCCAGCATGGCTCTCCCCATGCCCCATACAGAAGCTGGCCTGGGGGTCCCTGGAGAAAAAACTGTCAGGGCTGCTGATACCTGGCTGGGTGTCCAGAGACCCGTTTCTAAACTCCATCCTGATGTCTGACCTTGGGCCAGTCACTTGACTGCTCTAGGCCTCATCTCTGAAAGCAGCAGGAGGGATGGGAGTGTGGGAGAAGGCCCCTGAGGGGTGCTCAGGGCTATGAGGGGACGGGAGAGGGCCGTCAGAGCTCCTGAACGGGTGGGGGTGGCTTACGGTGAGAGACTGCACACCACGAGGCAGGGGCATAGAGGCTTTATTGGGGACACGCAGCGCATGGGGTGGATGTGGTAGGGCAGGGTGGGGGTATAGGCAGTCTGCATCAAGACGGTCCCCAGAGCGGCAGAGGGGCAAAGGGCAGTGCCATCTCCCGGGGTCTGGACTCCCCTAGTTATCGGCAGAGAAGACAGGCAGGCTATGCTGGGGCTTCAGGCCCCAGAGCTGAGAGTCAGAAATGACCACAGCCAATCCCAACCTAAAGAATCCCAAGGGGCTCCTGGGTGGTGCAGTCGGTTACATGTCGGACTTCAGCTCAGGTCATGATCTTATGGTTCATGGGTTCGAGCCCCACATTGGACTCTGTGCTGACGATACAGAGCCTGCTTGGGATTCTCTCTCTGCCCCTCCCCCACTCGGGCCCTCTTTCTCTCTCAAATAAATAAAACTTAAAAAAAAAAAAAAAAGAAGAATTCCCAATTCCAATACCCTGCTCCTCTTTGCACGTTTCTAGAGTGGGGGCTCACCCTCCCTGCAGCCCCAGCCACTGGGGACGGCTCTCACCCTCTGTCTCTCAGAGCGTCTATTTGCCGGGCCCTGCGGCCCTCGGCGGCTCTGCTTCATGAGGAAAATGTTGTGGGCCTGTTCCTGGCAAGAAAAAAACAGGGCAGGCCTGGAGACAGGGTGCTGGGGTCACTTCCTGAGGTGCCAGTCAGGCCAGGCCCCTCCCTCAAAGGAGGCTTACTGGGCCTGTGCCTTCCTGGCCAGGGACGCTGGAAAAAAGCTGACATCCCAGCAAAGACTACAGTCTCCCACTCCAGGGCTCCCAGCGATCCAGCTTCCCTAGGCAGAGGGAGACCCGTCCATGATACTGTTCCCCACTTCACTGGATGCACCTCAAAGGCTCTCAGCTCAGTGGGGGGCCCCTCCCGGAGGCCCTCCTAACCAAGCCCCTGCTAAGGGCCACCCACAAACCAGCTGGGCAACTACAGAACAAATCATCTAAAATCGGACTTGCTCACAAGGCAGGTACAGACTCTAGAATACAGTCACATGAATAGAGCTTGCTCTCTGTCAACACATACACACATGGACAGAGAGACGTCCCTCTATAACCTATGTCCTCTCCGCGTCACTCCTCCCTCCTGAAGTCACTCTCCAAAGAGCAAGAGTTGGCAAGCACAGCCCCCAAACTGCCAGCCACTCCCCACCACCCAAAACAACCCCTGCGGCAACCCTGCCTGACATCCTGAGGCCCCCGGGCCACTATGGGACCACGCCAGGCCCGGGCCAGGAGGGCCACCTTCCTGGGTCCTCAGGCTGAGTGTTCACCTCCAGATTCTTGCAAAATGCCCTGTGGCCGGGAGGGGTTCCCCAAGGAGGCTGCTCTGTCGTTGGCCTCCCCATCTCCCCTCTCTGGAGGAAGCCCAACAGAGGAGGCCTTGGCTCTCTCTGTCTCTGTGTCCATGTCTGTCTCTCTCCGCCTCTTTGAGTCTCACTCCGGGACAGTGAAGCAGAGAGTAAACAAGCCCCCCCATCTTCCCAGGCCTCGTGGTCTACAGCAGAAGCAGTGGCCTCTGGTTCAGCTTCTAGACTGTAAGTCCTTTGCGTCTTCCTCCCATGAGCAAGAGCACCAGCACCAGGGAGAGGAGAGGAGGAAGGACACAGGCTCAGGCGGTCCCAAGTGCGCAAGCTGAGTACAGACCCGCAGCTAGAAGAATGTTTGGGAATACAGGCCTGGGGGCAGGGGGCACAGGCAGGGGGCAGTGCAGGCGGGCATGGGGAGAGGGCAGCAGCGAGCAGCTGGCCTCAGAGCTGGTTAAAGACCACGGAGGCCTTGAGGTTGGCGGGCTCCAGGCCCTCGCCGAAGGTGACGAGGAAGTACATGACCTTGCGGATCTTGGCCAGGTCCGACAGGCGCTCCCCAAACTCCAGGGCGTCGGCCTCGTTCCAATCCATGGCATCCGCGTCCTCCTTGAGCCAGAAGATGGCAGCAGGGTCCAGCAGCTGGCGCGTCATGAGGTTGGTGAGGTCGGGCGTCCAGTTCTGGGAGGTGCCCGTGATGGTGACCTTGCCCGGCTTGTCCAACTCGACGTCCCAGCGCTCAAACTGCAGCTTCTGCTGCTGGACGAAGTCGAGGCGGTACACGGACTCGACGGGCCGCAGCAGCTTCTCCCCGTCCTGGCGCTTCTCCCCACGCTGCCTCAGGCTCTCCACGCGCAGCCGCATCTGCTTGGTGAGGTCGTGGTCCAGGACCAGGGGCATGCTGAGCTGCGGTGGCTTGGGCGCGTCCTCCGCCATGCCCCGCTGCTGCCGCTTCTCCGCTGCCTGGGCGCCCCTGTGCCTGGGCCGTGCGGCCGGGGCCACAGCCCACCCAAGGCGCTCCGCCCCTTCCCGGGCCTGCCCAATCCTCCAAATGGGGGTGGGAGTCCCCAAACGCCTCCTCGCCTCCTCTCTACTCCTCGAAGAGGCTGTAACACAGGCCCCGCAGGCAGGCGCGAGGCGGACGGGCTCCCGGGGGGCCAGACTGCTGATGTCAATTGCTGTGGTAACCGCTCCGACTACCTGACGACCAGGGAAGGGCTGGGAGCACCTGTTTGTGAAGAAGGGAGGCTGCGTGGGGCAGTACGAAGGGGAGGGAGGTGGGGAGCAGCCGCTCACTGTAAGGAGAGGCTTTACTGGGGACACCCTGGCAGGAGCTGGGGGAACAAGGAAGGAGAGGCCTGCTGATTTGAGATGTAAAGCCACCCTAGCCAAACCCTGCAGCCACGTTGACTCAGAGCCACCCTCACCACTCCACACTCAACCCCCAAGGCCTTCGGTCCCGCTCCCGGGGACCCTGAGAACCCTCTCCCCAGCCCCTCGACAGGGACTGGCCTGGCCACCCCCATCTCTGACCCAAACCCCTGTTCCCAAACTTCAGGGGTCATCAGAATCAGCCACAGGACTGAAAACACGATTGCTGGGCTCCTCCCCTTCTGATTTAATAGCGCTGATAAGGCCTAGGAATCTGCACTTGGACCAGCCTCCCAGGTGATGTCGATGCTGCTGGTCCAGGGACTGTGCTTGGACAATCAGTGACCCACTTGATTCCGGCCTGCTGGCCCTGCCTCCCCACCGCACCACAGGGCAGCCCAACGCCCAGGTCTCCTCCCAGTAAAATCCCACCACTTATTCCAGCTATATCAAGCCTCAGTTTCCCCCAGGAGACTTGAGGCCAAGGAAGAATCTGACAAATGTCTCTATCTCCAGTGCCTGAGGTGGAATCAGGAGCTCAGCTATTATATTCCAGTAAATGGAAGAACTGGAGTATGTGAGTATAGCTGGGAGGGGCGCAGGGGAGAGGGGAAGTTGTCGTGACATGGCACACACAGAAAACAGGACAGAGGCACAGGCCAAAGTAACAACTGAAAACAATCTGAAGGGCCTAGTGGACCACAAGCACAGTCTACTACTGGATGGAGGGTCGATCAGTCAGTGGGATCTTGGGCTACACGAGCAACAGAGCGTCACCAATGGGGACACAGCAGCTGGTCCTGTTAAGATAACCCCTCAAGCTCTGAGGTCAGTTCTGGGGGTCGTGGGTAGCAATTCCCCGTGAGTCTTCAAGAGGATGTGAGGAGTCAAACTGCCTGACCCTCATAGAACCTTTCTGGCTGCAGGGGCAGAGAAGAGCACACAATATGGCTCAGGAATTACTGTTAAATTAAGCCAGGACCCAGAACGGGGCGTGCTACATAGGATGCCCTCAGAAAATGCTTGTTGAGTGAATACATGAGTAAATAACACTGATAAGTGAACAGATGTGATAGGGCCCAAGGCCAAGGACAACCAGAGGAAGACATGCAGATGGGAGAACAGAGACATGACTGAAGCCAAAAATGAGGTTTAGGGGCAGGTGTGTGTCAAAGTGCAGAACGAGGGAGATGCCTAGAAGGTGAGGGTGGCTGAGGGTAAAGGCTGATGGGGGTGTAAACACGATCTGAGGCTAGGAAGGTGAGGGTGGGGTGCCAGCCGCATGGGCATAGTAATCCCTAGGACACAGCAGGACGTGGGGTGGAAAAGGTAGGAAATTGGAGGTGCTGGGCCCTTGGTCCCTGGGTGGTACCTGGTTCTCTTGGGGGGGCGGGGCGTGGGGAGCCAATGGCACAAGCCTGGAGGGGTTTGGTTTACAAGTGGAGGGTGCAGTCTGGAAGCAGCACTGAGGAAAGAGAGGATGTCGGTCCCCATCTCTGGACCTGCTGGACTCTAGGGGAGGTGCTCACTCTCTACTGGTGGGGACCCAGAGGCTGCACGGCCCTGGGGAGAGCCTGGTCTCGGCCTGGGCAGGTTACCGACGGAGGAGGCTGAAGGTGGAAGTCATCTGGGCCTCAGACAGGCAGGGCAGGAGGGAGGGGCAGCGGGAGGCAAGGAAGGCCCGAGGGGGGAGGGAGGGGTGGAAAGGGGGCGGGAGGTTGCAGGCGGGGCTGGGCCCACTGCCATCCACAGATCTCGGCTGGGCCCCCCACACACCTTGGGAAGACCCGCTAAAGCCTGGCGTAGGGATGAACAGAGAAGAGCAAGTAACCAAGCTCCCTATGTGATTGCAAAACTACATACTGAAAAACAAAACGAACACCTCTTTAACCCCGACGGGAAAAACAGACGAGAAGGAAATACGGCAACCCCTTAACACTGGCTGTTTCCGGCTAAGGAAAACCTTAAGCAATGTTGTATTTGTTCAGATCTTCTGTCCCCAGCATTAGAATGGTGCTCGGGGCATAGCTGTGGCTCAGGTGCCTGGGGTGAGTGGACGGCCATGTAGCTCAAGGGCGTGGATTGCCCGTGTAACGCCGGCAGGGGTGGGATGGGAACCATTTTAAATAGAACTCAAAAAGAGCCCAAGTCACCAGGTGCCTCTCCCAGGCCAAGCCCCAGGGCTGGCCACCCCCCCCCCACCCCCCCGCAACACTCCCCTCTCAGACCTCCAGACCCTCATTTCCGCTGTGCTCTCTTCCTCTCCTCCGGCCAGAGAGGCTGGGGGCAGGGATCAGGCCTGGGGGGCGTGAGCTCACAGAGGACCTTGGGTCTGGCTTGGGCCAGGTCAGGCTCAAGTGCAGATGGTCCACCCCACTGTCACATCCTGATTTCTGATCTATAAAATGTGGTCACCGGAAGCCCACTGTCCTGCCCTCAGAGGATGTACAGTCAAGGTGGGGAGACCACTGTGCCCCTCCCGGGGATCCCATAGGAGGGAGAGGCCCACTGCCAAGGGGTGCCTCGTAGAACAGAGAAACAGGCCGGGGACACAGAGGTGGGGCAGGGAGGAGGATCTAACGTGTGTGAATTGCCGTGAAACACCACAGGCTTCCGCCCGAACAGGCTCTTTCCTCCTCCTACAACTCTGGGGACTAGAAAGGTCAGGTTTACACCGAGGTGGGGAGGAGAAGGAACCTGACCTGCCCAATGGCACACGACAACGAGGGACCCAGCCAGAATCACACCCAGGCCTGGCTGGTTTCAAATCCTGTGCCCATTGGCCTCAGACTGCATCAAGAACTAGAGGTAAAGGGGTGGCTTCCTGGAGGAGGGGGTGTGTGTGTTGAGGGCACAATGCAGCAGCCTGTGAGGCTGAGCATCACCGGAGTGAGGAGGCTGGGGTGGGGGTGGGGGGCGGGGAGGGGTGCAGCTCAGGCCGAGCACCCCTGTTCCATGGAGAAAACAGGGCGGGCAGGGGAGGCCCCGCAGGGCAACGGGCCCTCAAGTAAGGGGTGACAACAGGGGACGTTCAGTAGGGACAGGAGGGGAGGTAAGGCACAGTAACAAGCTCCCCGGGGCCTCCTCCTCCTCCTTCTAGGACCCGGGAGCTGTCCCCACAGCAGCACCCCGAGGCAGAGTGCAATTAGCCAAGCACCTTGCCCTGCTCCAGCCTCCTGGGGACCCACGCTCCTGGAGACCGGCCTCCTGGCCCTTGAAGCCTCCAGACCAGCCCCAGGTGCCCTGATACCTGCAGCAGGAGGAACCTTTGGCCCAGAGACGAACACAGACCTGCCACAGCGTGGATAACAGGCCTCCCGCCGGCAGGCCCGGGGTCCCTTCCTCCATGTGGTCACGAGATGGGGAGCTGCCCCAGCGCGCTGCCCAAGGCCAGGCCCAGGCCAGGGCCCGCAGCAAGCCGAGGCTCCTCCCTACAAATGGCCAGAGAGCCCATTCCCCAGGAGGGGACACAGCGGGCCAGGCTCTGGTCCCACTGAAGGCCCCCCAGAGACGCAGGGCAGGAGGGCCGGCCGTGGGGCTGCTGGCCAGTAGCTGGGTCCAACAAACCGGGGAAGGGCTCTGCTCTCAAAACTTTCTTGAGCCTTCTCTGTGCCAGGGTCCTGCTGGCCTCACTGAGAAGACACAGTTGGACCAGCTTCGCCCAGGGGGAGCTCATGTCAACCAGGGAGGCCACAGGCAAACATGCGATTACAGGGCAGGGTGGGGAGAACGGGGCCAGGCCCTGCAGGATTCTTATGTGCCACCTCCAGCCCCGGACTGAGCCCTGACCGAGCTAGGGGTGGGCTCAGAGGCAGGAGGACCTTGCTGTGGGCTCCGAGAAGGGGGCTGGTGCTTGGAGGCAGAGGAGCGAGGAAAGGTCTACACCCAGACAACAGCACTGAGCCCCAACCCCAGTGAAATGATCCCACGTGTGGCTCTCTGAGGCCCTCCCAGCTTGGACATCCTACAACTCCCCACGTCTATAGGCTGCAGCGGTGGCCTATAGACGTGGGCACCAGCGTCCCCACAGGACCATCAGCAGCCAGGCTCCAGGGATACCCACGCTAGGGTGGCTTTAAAGGTCACACCCCACTCCAGAAGACATGAATACAGAGCTCCTGCCGCAGTCCCAGCCTCGGCTGAGGGCACAGCTCCCCCTGATGGCCGAGGGAGGTCTGACATGATGAGAACAAAGGCACTGCCCCTTGCTCCCTGCTTGCCCGGGAATGCCCACTATGCTCTACCAGTCTTAATTATCCTAACACTGGCAGCGCAGACACCAGTCACTGGGCACTGCACCCTGAGACCAGTATCTCTTTTTGCCCCAACAAACTCCCTCCTATCCTGGTTTTCCGGATGAGTAACCGGTGCTAATTATAAAGCTGCTAAATGGTGAGGTGGGGAGGGTGGGCTCCAAGCCAAACCGTCAGGCTTAGATGCCCAGTTCCTAGTTCCTCACAGGAAGAGCAGGAAGGGCAGGTGCGAGCAAGGGGGCAATGGCCTGTATCTGCCGGCACAGGAACCCAGGATGCAGTGCCAGTCATCATTACTCATTAGAGACCAGTAGTCTAGCCTCTACTCCAGCTTCCCGGCCAACCCCCCCGCCCCCCGCCGCAGGAAGGGAACTTTCAGTGCGGGGTTAAAGGGCTGCACCACCGAGTGCTGCCACAAGAGGGCAGAGCGTCACAACCAGAGCCAGTTCCCAATCGAAACCAGAATCATGAAACAAAATCACCTGCACCACTCTTGCCGCACAAGTGAGAAAACGGAAGCCAAAATAAGGACGAGGACTGGTCAGCTCTACAGCAGGTACTGGCAGGGGGTCTCCTGAGCCCTAATTAGTGGTATCTTCACACCGCACATGATTCAGGTAGCTTCCCCATTCCACACGTGCATCTTCCGCCAAGTGGCTCCAGGAACACTGTGCGCCCCCAACTGTCGGATGGGGACACACCCACATTCTGCTGCTCCGCCAATGCTGGGAGCCCTGGTGTCACCCTGCCCCCCACCCCCAGACAGGTGTTCATAAAGTCCCATCTGCTAGTTCGGGCCGCACCTCCCCTGTCCAGCGGCGAGGGCCCCACCCCACACCTCACCTTCTGCCACAGCGACTCCCGGGAGGCGAGTGACGAACAGGCTGCCACAAACCAGCAGTTGCCCACTTGGCCCTGGTGCAGGTCGTGGGAACTGATGCCATCCACAAAAAGGCGGGGGTCCTCACATATGTCCTGCAGAGAAGCCAAGAGGAGACCTCCCTGTCAGCGTGGGGACTCCACCTCCCCTGACACACCGGGGGCCCTCAGCATGGTCAGTTGGTTTTGCCAAATCCAGGTCCCCCCCCCAGCCCCCACCCAGGTGCTACCTGGAATGTCCTTCTCCCGTCCCCGGGCTGAAGAACGCTGCCCTTCTGCCAGAGGTTCGAAAATGATCAGATGCTATGGAAGGTCTTTGGGGGACTGGACCTTGGGCACCCCCTTCTCCTGCCCTCCGTGGTCTTCCCCAACCAGCAAGGGGTCAGTTCCCCTCATCCCCCAGCACCAGCAGCCCTGCAGCGCCCATGCCAGCCCGCCCTCAGGCATCCCCCCAAACAAAGAGGGTGGGGGCCCAGCGGGGAGACAAACCACAAACCACAGCTGATGACTGAGTGGCAAAGGCAGGGGAGAAGTAGGAAGCTGACCATGCCAAGCCCCGCGCAGGCACATCCTCAGGCTGTCTCACTGGATCCTCTAGCCACCCCGGCAGTGTGGGGTTGTTCTATTTTATGAACGAGCAATGAAGGTTCAGAGAAGGGCAGAGATTTGTCAAGGGCACACAGAAAGCCGTATGGAGCAGAGCCAAGCAGACATCTGTGCGTCCCTTGTGGGCCCAATGGGCCGGGCGGGGGCAGGGCTGGGCATGACGACAGTGCCCTTCCCGTTCCCAGTCCGGGTATCTGCTTGGGGCATGCACATGCCCACCTGTGTCCCGAAGCATCTTCACTCCACAGAGCTGACAGGGAGTGAGGGCTCCCCAAGGTGGGAGGGGGTAAACATTGAGGCACACCTTCTATCCTGCTGGCACCACGATCAATCCTCACCACGATCCTGAGGGGTGGGCACAATGCCCATTGTACAGATGAGGAACTGAGGCCCAGAGAAGTTGATCAACACGCCCCAGACACACAGCTGGCCTGCCTCCCTATCTGCTGGCTCGATCACAGTCCAGCTCCTAAGGTCCTATGCCACGTGGCTGGTAGAAGTCAGTAGAGCCAGGGGCACCTGGGTGGCTCAGTTGGTTAAGCGTCTGACTTTGGCTCAGGTCATGATCTCACAGTTCCTGGGTTCAAGCCCTGCATCAGGCTCTGTGCAGGCAGCTCAGAGCCTGGAGCCTGTTTCGGATTCTGTGTCTCCCTCTCACTCTGCCCCTCCCCTGCTCATGCTGTCTCTCTCTCTCTCAGAAAGAAATAAAATATTAAAAAAAAAAAAAAAAAGGTCAGCAGAGCCAGAAGGATGGAATTCAAATTCCTGGTTACCATTTACTGGCTGTGCAACATTGGGCCAGTGGCTCAACCTCTCCCAGCCTGTCTCCTCCCCTGTGCAAAGGAAGCAGATTATGATCCCTGCAGGGCTGTGTAAGGACTCTATGGATTACAGAAGCCGGGCACTCGGCAGGGAAAATGGGGCAAAGGGCTACAGGTCCTCACTGAGGCATCTGGGACTCCTGTCGGTGCCTCAGCCTGGAAAAACCTGGGTTTGGGAGGGCCAGATTAAAGGCCAAAACTCCCCTGAGGGCATAAACAGCTCCAGATGGGACTCCAGGGTGACCCAGAGCCAAGCCACAAGATGGCTTCCCCACAGTGCAGGCTGAGTAATGGCACCCCAGGTCATGGCAACATGGCGAGGCTGTGCTAGCAGGAAGCACGGCCGAAGAAGCCTTCCCTCCCTCCCCGCTGCCGTTCTTATCTTATTTCCTGCGCCCCGGCCCACACCCCGCCCAGCACTGGAGCCAGACGGAGCCATGACTTAGCATCTGCCTCCCTAGAAGGGCAGGCAGGGTGGGGATGGAGGGGCGCCTCGTATCTGCAGATCCCGGCCTCATCCCCAGCACGGGAGGGGAGGCGGCCACCACTTGGCATCACCAGGGTCCGCAGAGACCTCTTAGTACCCCTCCCCTTCAAGTCTTCCCAGCCAAGGCCCTGGACGGAGACAGGACGGCCTATCGGCTCTCAGAGATCGGTGAGGCCCAATAGGCAGAGACACCCAAGGTCATCAGGGCCAAGATCTCAAGACCTCTGTTTGGTCTTCCACCTTTCCTGGGCTATTGAGAAGACAAAGAGCTAGTCAGGAAGTTCCTGGCCCAAGGGAGGGCCCTTGAGGAGGAAGAGTTTGACTGTGACCCTCCACGGGAGCACAGCTATGACAGCAGGAACCCAGGCTGCCTGGAGGCGGTGACACCGGCACAGCAGGCATGGAGAGGGCTGGTGGCTAGGAGGCTCGACTGCAAATTCACCCCAAGATGGGACCCAGCTGCAGCTCTGGGACACACGCCGCCTGACACCATGCTCCGCTGGGCTCCCGGCCACACTGTCCACACTGAGGTTTGCCTCTGGGCCTCCCCACCAGCCGGTGAGCTCCAGGGCAGCGCCCAGGCCCGGCTCGGCCCGCCCCACTGCCAGCGTCAGGAGCAGCGCTTGCCGGGTTCTGCTGGGGCCGCAGGCAGAGTCCTGGGAGCAAGAGAGGGCAAAGGGGCAGGTGGGCTGGATCGGACCAGCATCTGCTGTGAGCCCTGGGCAGAGCCGTCCCGCAGGGCTGGGAGGTGACTCCTCCTCTGCCGCCCGGGCTGCTACGGCTTCTGCGCCTGCAGTCACCTCTCACCTCTCAGCCTTCAGCCTGTCAGACCGGCTCCACCGGACACAGGTCATAGCCCAGAACCATCTCCCTCTAGGGCACAAGAGCTTCAGGTTTCCAGGCCCGGGGCACAGAGAGGAAAGCAGCAAGGCAGCGGACCCAGGGCACAGTCTGCCTTCTCCTTCCGCCCTGCTCCTCCGTCACCTCCCTCCGGGAATCCGAGATCACAACAGGAATCAACCACACGGCTGGAGAAAGGCCCAGGAAGGGGGGAAAGGCCCAGGAAGGAAGCGGTCTCTCTGCCTAGGACACAGGGGAGAAGGGCAGGTTCCCCAGGAGCACTAGCCTGTGCCCCACCCCCTCTGCAGCAGACCTGCCTCTCAGGCCCCCATCCCCTGCTCCCTGTCTCCTCCCACGGCAGTCCCGTCCTGCGAGGCCACCCAAGCACGTGCGCAGAAGGGACTCATTCCTGGGCAGGGCAGAGGCCCAGACGGCTGGCCCCAGTCAAGCCACCCGTTCCATGGCACAAAGGGGCTTACTCTCCAGCAGAGCCAAGGACTGGGGTCTTCTCCAAGTGCTTGTGTGGTGAACATAAGCCCAGGGCTCGGGGCTGGGGATCACCGGGCCACCGTGGGGGAGTTCAGGGGGGTTCTAAGACACATCTGTTTGTGGAACCTCTACTTGTTCCCTTCTTGGTTCCACCAAAGGACCTGCATGCAAACTTAGCTCCAGAGATGGGGAGAGACTGAGTGCTGGATGGGGCAGGGGCTACTGTGTCCCCACAGACATGGAAAGGGGCCCCTGAGGCCCTGCGCTGGAGAGAGGAGGCAGCCCTGCATACCTCCACTCCCTCGGGATTACCCCAGAGCCAGAGGCCTCTCTGACAGTCTCCCTCTCTTACCTCCCTGGCCAGGCCCGTGGGGGAGGCCAGCAGGCCTTGCCAAACCGGAAGGAACAATGAACCAGGCAGTGAGGACTTAAGACAGGTGCCCTGGGTGGGCAGGGAGGCAGACAAGGCCTGGCCTCGCCCACGAGACGGGGGTCTTTCCAGGCAGGGCCAGCTCTGGGTCCCCACTACAGGCTTGGCAGGGGGCAGCAGCCGGCTGGTCGTGTGCCTCCCACGTGTCCGACACCACAGACCTGGAGTCCTTTCAGCCTCCAGAAAACATGGTCAGCAAGTTATTCTCCCCATTCACAGATGTGGCAACTAAGGCCAAGGTCACACCTCCCGCGGCCCTCCCAGAAGGTAGGGACAAGTCCCTCTGAATCAAAAACCAGCCTCTTCGTTCCACTTTGGGAGAAAGCAAGAGGGCGGCCAGCGGGGAGAGAGGCTGACTGAGGAGATCCTCCAGAACAAAGAGGCCATGATACCGACCAACTGACAAGAGAGGGGCTGACGGTGAGATGGGGCCGAAGAAGGCCTTCCCAGGGGCGGTCCAGAAAGGGCTCTTTGCTCTATGTGTAAACAGTCAGGTCACAGGTCACAGGCCCCAGGAAGTAGGACTCCATGGAAACACAGCTGCCTCAGGACAAAGTCCCATCTCACTGGCCAAGAACCAAGCAGCTGGGAGTTCATAGTCACCCCACTGGGCTGGTCCCGCCCCATCCACCCGAGGCAAGCCGGGCCTGACTTCCTGCTCCACCAACCGCCTGTTCCGACAGTGCGGTGAGGGCCTGCCCGGGGCCTCGAGCCCTGCGCCCCCAGCAGGCGCCGCTCACACACCCACCGTCCAGCACGCCCCGGTCCACACAGTCTCACCTCCTCATCCACCACCACTCAGCCGTGCCTGGCCTTGAACTGCCTCCCAAACCCAGAACTGATTCCCCACAGCCACCTCCGGGCTGCCCTCAGGGGTCTTCCTGTCGACACCAACCACCAGGTGCCGTGATTCGCGGCCTCCACTTCCAGGGCAGGGGCAGCTCTGCTCCTCCTCTTTCAGTGTCTAGAAAGGACCAGACACCAAGCCCAGTAAGGTAGTCAATGAAGGAGGAGGCGGCACAGCAGGACTGCCACGCTGGCAGGGAAAGGGGCCCAGAGAAGGCAGGTGGCTCCACCGGGATCACACAGCAGGGGGAGGCCGAGCCCGGCCAGGTCGGCATTTCCTCCTCCGGCACGGCAAACCCAGCTTTCCCCAGCCTCCTTCCAGAGACACAGATCTAAAACGTCTGGGTGCTGGCCAGGGGGCAGGACACGGGCAGCCAGGGGGTGGAGGGAGGAAGGCAGAGAGCTCAAGTGTCTCCCCCCACAACACCACACACACACACACCCAAGGCTTCACAAAGGCCCTTTGAGGCTGGCCTCCTTCCCCACCCACCAGACAAAGGAGGGAGAGGAAGGCGTGGGGGTAGGGGGCCTGAGAGGCAGGAATCTGGGGGCCAGGAGGCTCCTGGGAGTTTTGGAGAACCAAGGCGGCTCACAGGGCTGAGGTCAAAGGTCTGGCATCAGGGTGGAGCGCGAGGAGAGGCGGGACTCCGGGATCCCGGCCTGGCTCTGTTACCAGCTCCCTGGGCAACCGGGGCATTGCCTTAGTCCCTCCACCTCTTGGGTACCCCAGTCCAAGAAAACACACGGGCTTTTCTGAGGCAGAGGGGACTTGAGATCAGAGCCTAGGAGAGGGATATGAAAACTAAATTCCATTTCCCCACGATGTCTAGGAGGCCAGAGGGAACTTTGTAAAACGCAAATCTGACCCTGTCACACCCCCACACCAGCCCCACCAACCCCAGACCCCGGCCGCCTCGTCCCCTACGTTCCTGCCACGTCCCAAATAAGCCCCAGGGTTTCAAGTCTCCTGCCTTTTCCATAGTGCGCTCCTCACCCTTCAGCTGTGAGATGCCTCCTCCGATTCGCGGGCAGCGCAGTGCCCCACACCAACGTCCGTCCCGTGTGACCACCTCAGCGCCAGCAGCCTCCCAGTTCGTGCGCTATTTCTTCTAATGCTCCCAACAGCCCCGTAAGCTGCTATTATTTTTTACTGCTATTATTATTCATTAATGATCATAATAAATCCTTTGGTTTGCAGCAAATGGCTATTCCAAAATCATCACGAAAACAATCAGCAAATTCCTTACACTTCAACGTCACTCTAGGACTTTTTACTAAAAACAGGTCACATCCCCATTTACCTCATTTTTTGCCCAAAACCGCCCTGGGAGGAGAGTAACAGGCTGGAGTGCCCCATACACCCTGTGAGGAAGTTGAGGCCCAGGGAGGGGGCGAAGTCCTGGACGGGCTGTGGTGGCCACGGGATTAGGGCCCATGCCTGTGCTCTCCGTCCAGATGAAACCCCGCAGCGGGAGGGCCCCCCACCTTCTCAGCCACCCGGGGCCTCAGGATGACCAGCCACCAGCCTGTCCCCTGCAGACTGCTGGCCTCAGTTCCAGCTGTGACCGGACACTGACCTTGGGCCGCTTCCACCTGACAGTGGGCCCCGGGGTGCCCTTATAGTACAGGGAGTCGTCGGTGGCCGGGAAGTTGGGGTCCTCAAAGAGCACCTTCTTGCGCAGACAGGCCCGCTTCAGAGCCGAGTAGTTCTGGCCCTCGTAGGGCTTCGCGCCTGAGAACATGGCGGCGGCTACCCCAGCAGGGGCAGCTGAGACAAGGCAGCAGAGGGCTTAGGTGGGGACGTGGGTGGCTCCTGGGGTACCTGGGGGGACAGGAAGGTGAGATCATCACTTACTGAGGACTGGAGGACTCAACGCACACTGACCCTTGCATGCTCCCTCCCCGTGGCCCTGTGAAGCGGGCCCCCTCCTCCCCAAATGACAGGCCGGGAGCTGAGAGGCTCAGAGGTAGGGACAGACACAGCATCTACTTGTACAGCAGGGACAGGAATCAACTGACCTGACTTCACATCCTGAACCCTCTCATTTCTGATGCTTGGACGGGGCGCCAGCCCACAGGCCAAGAGGCCAAGGGCACAAGCACTGGGGCTGCCTGGCCACACCCACCAGCTCCTTCCTTTGTCACCAGCCTTTCCCAGACCTGCCAAGGCTGAGGGAGACTCACGGCCAAGTCAGCAGCTGCCAAGGCTGGTGCCACGCGCACAGGAGAGCGGCAGCACTGCCTCCAAGCTTCTTTCCCCGGGACCCTCCCCACATAGTGAAGGCACATTTCTGTCCCACGCAGAGGGTGCCCCCCCTTCAGCCATTCCATTGTTTACGTTAATTTGACAGACCCACCCTCCAGCACTGCCTCCTGGAATAAACATCTCCTCCTCCTTAATCCTACTGACCTAACCTCCCGAGGCCCCCCATCCCTCCTCCCTCGTGGCTTCCCAATCTCCAAAGCCAGACTCTCGCTGGTGACCTCCCAGACCTCACAAAGTCTCACTCCTGAACAGTCTCTTCCAGGGCCCCAGGAGCGACTGGTTCTGACCCTTCCCTCACCTCTGACCTCCCTCTTCCCCTGGGGGCCCTGGGGAGGCGTATCAAGCCGTGTTCTGCCCACCATCCCTGCCCGATGACCCCCATCTCCCTATATTCAGCCTGGACCCCTCTGATGGGCTCCCAACCAGCCCACCCCTATGAGGTCCCGGGGCGCCCACAGCCATCAATTCCAAGCCAGACCTCTCATCTCCCTCCACACCTCCCCAGGATTCGGGTCCCAGGAAGCAGGACCGGAAGCACCCGTTAGACCAGAGACCAGGGTCCACTGGGTTTTGTTCCTGCTGTGCATGAGGCCCCTGCACAGAGCTCAACATGGAAGGAGGCTGTCCATGTCAGCATCCTCCCTGCAACCCCCCTCAAGCTTGTAGCCACAGGTAACCAAATGCGAGGGCCTCGGACTGGACTGGACGACGGAGCCAGGGAAGCCCACCAGGAGGGGGAGGGGGCGGGAAGTGGCAGCCCGCGGGCCTGACGCATGCGCAGACTGGCCAGGCAGCTGACAGCCCCTGTATCTCAGACTCCGTCTGGGCTGCAGGCGGAGCTCCACAACCGGCCACACCGCCACCCACCCCCAACCACCCCTCCACCCTACTCCCTGTCTAGTCATCCTGGGGCCTGCCCAGGGCAACAAGGCAACCCCACTGGGGCACAGGCCCTGCCTTCCCAGCCCAGCTGAGGGACACACATGTTTGAAAACAAGACTGATGTGGGTGCCAGTCCCAAAGGCGCCTCTCAACTGCTGTGTGGCCTTGAACAAGTCACTCAACCTCTCTGAGTGCCCATTTTCTCAGCTCCACAATGGGAATGATGTTGCTTTCATAACCGGAAGATGGTGTTGCTGAGAAGACTTACTTAGCAGGCCAGAAAGAGGGGGTTGGGAGGAGGAGGAGACAAGTCACCCCTCAGTACCATCTCTCCGGCACCAGCAGGCCAGAGGCTCGTGTTCAGTAGTGGCAAGCAGTGCTGGGCAAGTCTTTCACTGTGTCCATTTTTCAGAAAAGAAAACTGAGGCTCAGTGAGGGAAGGGGGCTCGCCCACATTCCACGGCAGAGTCTGGACTTGAACTCACATCCTTTGGTGCCTCCACCTTGGCCTGGTAACCCTGCGGTGCAGGAGAAAGGGCTGACTCCACACACCCTGGCGGCGCCAGGTTCACAGGAAGGGAATGAGGGATGCAATGGTGAAGGGAAGCGCAGAAGGGCAGGAGGAGAGATGGGCGGTGAGTGCGGAAGCTGGAGGCACGGCAGCGAGAGCAAGGAGGGTTCCTGGTCCCCGGCCACCAGGACGCACGCCCCTTCACCTTCTGCCTCACATCCATACAGGACCCTATATGCTCTGCTGCCATGTGACCTCGGGCCAACATCTTAACCTCTCTGGCCCTGCTGTCTTCCAGGAAGGCCCAGAACACTCAGGAGGCATCAGGGAAAGAGGGGAGGCTGGAGAGCCAGCCCCTGGGCTCTGGCACGCAGCCACTCAGGGGCGTCATTAGCATCACAGCTTACAGCAGAGCCTGGTCAGGAAGCAATTAGAGCTGCAAGAATTAGATCAAAGAAGCTGAAAGCAGGATCCCAGAAATCAGCTCTAGCAATTCCAAGTTCAGAGCCCAGAGGGGCCGAGGAGGGGGAGCCAGCTGGCTGAGGCAGCGTGGTCAGGTCAGCGGAGGATGAGGGTGCTGGTGGCCCTCCAGGCCACACAGTGGTCATCGCTCCCAGGAGGCTCTGCTCCCAGGGAGGGCAGAAAGAGGAAAGCCTGGCTGGGCCCAGGCCAGGAGGATGGGGCCAGGCCTGGCCGAAGGTCTGCCCGGGCTCATCTCTTCAGCCTCACCCCTGCCAGCAAGGCTGCCCCGCCTACTTAAGCCAGCCAGGCTCTTCAGCCCCAGCCTTTCTTTGCACAGGTTGAACCTCATGGTGACTGTCCTCCCACACCTTCCTCGTGCCCCAAGGTCACCTCCCACTCCACCCGTTGGGTCAATACCCCATGGGGTCACGGAGTCAAGAGCCTCAGAGATCTGCCCCTCTCCCTGTAGCTGCAGATACCACTGTTGAAGGCCACGGATCAGCCAAGTCAGGAAAGCCGGCTTCCGGATCTGGGGGCTCTATCTCTGGGCCTGAGTTTGGAGCCCCGCACATCCTGCTTCTGCACGTCTTTACACTGGGCGTGAACCGGCACTGACAGGGGAGTCCGAGCTTCCCAGCTGTCTTCAGCAGCCCTCTTCCCTCTGCCCCTGCCAAGCTCACCCCACCCCTACCATTCTCCGTGCCAAGTTCAGTGCTGTGAGCCCCCCTGCAGTTACTCCGAGCCTGCACACACGCTGTTCCTCCCACATGCGCATACCTGGAGAACTGGTCACCTCTCAAGGCTCAGCCCCAGTACCTCCCCCCGCCACTGCCAGCCTGTCCCCTCCCCCCCCCCAGTCCGGGGAACCCTGTGACAGCACCCATTACATCATACTCCGTGTGCATAGGAGCCATCCATCTCCGCGGCGCAGCCTACGCCTCTGCAGGGCAGGGCCCATGTCCGGCTCCTCTCTGTAACCCCAGGGTCCAGCACTGGGATGGGGACTCAGTACATCTGTACTGAACGCCAACCCGGGGGATGTAGGAATCCCTTCACGGATGGGAAAACCAGGCTCAAGAGGGGAAGGGACTATCAGAGAAGGTCAGCTTTCGGTGTTGGAGCCGCACTGGCTCTCAGGTCCTGAAGGCAGGGGCCTGCCCTTCCCACTGGACCAGGCCTCTCCCTCTCGTCCCCTCTGACTCCCACTGCAGCGCCCACACCCCTGCCGTCCCAGGCACGTCACAGCCGCACCCCACCCAGGCACTCCCTTCTCCACAGCCCATCTCCAGTCTCCAGCTCTCAGCGGAGAGCTGGCTCTAGTTCCCCAATGTCCTATGCTATGCGACTCTGAAGGGGCCGCATCACTTCTCTGGTCTGCGTGGTCCTTATCTGGAAGGAAGCATTAAGGTGCCAGGGTCTCTGCGAGGATCAAAGGAGATACCACCGCACGGGGCCGCACATGCTCCTGAGGGATGTCAAGTCTCAGTGGCAGGCAGTGCAGGGTGATTCACGCCCAGACTCGCACAGTGGGGGGCTCTGCCGCTTGAGGACAGGGTGCTGACCTGGTCCAGAGGAGGGCCTGAGTGCACACCAGGGAGCCCAGAGGAACCACGTTTCTGGCAGGTTGGTCGGACTTGAGCTCGAGTCCTGACTGCACCACTTACACTCTGCAGCCTTAGACAAGATGTTAACATCTCTGAGCTGCTATCAGCCCTACTTGGTTCCAGCTTCTCAGGTGACAGGGAAAGAAAGGGTCATGTCCCCTGGGCCTGCCCTGCAAGGCTCTCTGTCCTCACCCTGGAAATGGGGTGTAGCCACTTCCAGGCAGCTGTGGCCCAGCCTGCTGTTGTTTCCTGGGCCTCCATGGGGGCGCGCATGGGCCCGCTGTGCACAGGGTGGAGTAAGTAAGGGCTCATCTGAGGTCACACTGAGCCAGCTGCGGGAGGAAGCTGACACCAGTGAGCCTTCCCTGGATGCTGCGGCCGCCACCTCCAGGGAGGAACCGGAGAGAGAGTTGTGGTCCCATTTTATAGATGAGAACATCGAGGAACGTGTCTAAAATCTGCGGCCCATTAGCTGGATTCCAAGCTTCTAGATCCTTATCACACCAGGGCTTCCCAAAGGGTCCCGATTAACACTGTGATCACTTTAGGGGGTAACTCTGATGTGGCAGGAAAGACATCAGCAAGAAAGCTGTTCCCCATCCTGTTCTCTTCAAGGACTCTCTCTGAAGGAGAACCCGATTTAGTCTAGTGTGTCTTTCATCCCTCGTGGCCCCTGCGCATCTATACTTGACGAAGGAGGATCAGGCCTCAGGCTCCGAGCACCAGCATCTGGCCTAAAGTGAATGGATTTTTCTGTTGTCTGTACTTTATTTTTAAGTACCAGTTACCTTGCACATGTGGAGAGTAATACTGACTTCCTTTTTTTTTCTTTTAAGTTCATTGATTTTGAGAAAGAGAGTGAGAGAGTGCACGTGCACACACACGAGCAGGGAAGGGGCAGAGAGAGAAAGAATGCAAGCAGGCTCTGCACCCAGCCTGACGTAGGGTTCAATCTCACAATCCTGAGATCATGACCTGGGGCGAAACCCAGTCAGATGCTTAACTGACTGGGCCACCCAGGCGCCCCATTACTGACTTTCCATTTACAGCAGACACAGTTTCCTTTAAGAAATGTTAAGGGAAAATGAAGTTAACTT